ATACTCGCACTCACACGCACATACCGAACAACGCCTAAATGTAAACGGGCGACTCGCACCTTTCAGCGAGACCGGCTTTCAGAATAAGTTTTTCTTACACCGCTCCATTACTTGTATGTCCGTTCTTAATATCAAACAAATAAAGCTGACTATTTTTGTCATAACGAAGTGTCTGATACTTTGCTTGTGCACTCTTCCCCGATCAAACCTCTTTCGAACCTTTAGACGCGTAACCCGACGAGCTAAATCCGAGCAGTCGAAAGTTAGGTCGTTACAACTTAAATCAAGTATATTTGTGAAAGTGTGCCGATTTTGACTGTGCATATCTTTTTCAGATGCCTGTCCGCGATCTGGCTCGTTCGTTCGTCCTGACGCGCGTTATTACGACGTGATGACGTCGTAGACGCAGGCGCCCGGTGTCCATGCTACGCTATTTTCGTGGTTGTATCATATTTTTGGAAAGCGTTGCCGGCTTTGACTTTGCCTAATACGATTGGCCAATTAAACCTCGTCAACAAGGATCTGGGCCATTTAAATTGCTCCTTTTGTTATGGAACAAGTAATGGGCCTTAGAGGAAATATAGCTACAGATGGACCTTATACGTGATCTTGTTCTCAGACATGATGCTACATCTCTTTTGCTAAATTTAATTAAACCTAATAATCCTATAAGTATGTAAAGTGTTACACTATGTGTAACATTTTGATTATATTTTTGTCTTATTTGCTTTTATACTCGCTTTTATGTTCAATATTGACACTCAAAAACCATCAACTATTAGAAATATGATAGCAATGTTTGTAAATTCTTTTAATATAAAAGTAGGACGAACTTAGTTTTTATAACAAATAGAATTTTAAAATTACATTCCTTTTATAATAAATAGACAATATCTAAATATTTTTTTATTACTAATAAAATCTACATTCACATGTAGGATTGTATGGACTTTATCTAAATTATGTAAAAAGAAGAATTTACCTTTATCCTAAAATTGATTAGACTTATTTTACCAGTATTTAATTATCTGTTTTGCAATGCAGATCGAGACATACTTGGTAAGATAATTATACTTGTGTTGTTTGTTATCATTATTTTATATATTATTTATACATAATTTATTCTGAATTTGAAGTATTTACATTACTATTTATTCTAGTTAATATCTGCTGGAGATACTAATTCTTTTCTAATTTCATTTAGTGGAAAAAGGTACGAAAACAAGAAGTAGAAGGGTAACAATCGACAAGGACAACAGTTTTATAATGATTTCAAACTAGTAGTACTGTACAGTGTAGCACAGAACATATGTGCTACAGTTACATCACTTACTTTATGTAAGTTACATTTAGACAATAACATAAAATATAAATATTTTCCAACAAGAGACACAGCATAATAGTATAACACAGTAATTATTTCATCTTCGTTTAACATTAACAAACGACAAAGATTTATTGTGTTACGCTGTGTCCACATTTGTGTCTTTTGCTAAAAAGCACCCTAAATAAATAATGTGTACATAAATAAGTAATTTATATTAACACTCTCTTTGTTTGATTTTTTTTATTATAAATACTATTATAACGGTTTTACATGCTTTCATAATATTTTTTTAGGAGTTACTCAAAATCATTCGTTCAAGATGATCCATTTTGCTGACAAAGCTATAAATAGCTATTTGCGTGATGCTGTATTTGCGTGGAACAAGTAAATAAACAAGATGTGATTCGCATATTGTGATATTAGCACGTAAGATATGTAAGATCCTAATTTTTTGTATACGTTAGAAACTTTAGCATTTTTTTTTTCAGATCTATACAATTTAGAAGAAAATCGTAAGAGACATTTTTTATTCAGAATTTCACGTAGAATACGATAGTATTTTTTTAATTTCGAAAAGTAAAATTTTGTATAAAGCGTCCGCCATATTGAAGCAGCCATCTTGAATTTTGCAATTTTATTAATGCCGTTGGATTCGGATGTGACAAAAAATACGGAAAAACGTTTTGAACTAATAATTTTAAAAATTCAGTTACTTATGATTGCGAAAAAAGTGATAATTTTTCTTATTTTTGGCCGCCATTTTGATATAACTTAGTAAAATTAGATGAAACACATACTGCAATATCTCATTCAATATAAACTTATATTTGGATGAACATTAATTAATAAATACTTACTTTTTGTAACAATATTCAAGAAAAATTCAAATTTTACATAATTTCATATTATTTCCGCCATTTTGAAAAGGTTATAGTAACTTTTGGTTTGCCAACAAAATTTTTCCTTATGTTTCAACTATTCCGATCACCATTGATCGTAGATAGAACTCAATTTGAATATTGTTTCGACTAGAAAAAAAATGATAAAAAAAAATTTAATTCTCATTTTTTGGTACCTCGTCTTTTAAAATCCGCCATATTTTTTTTTCTCTGCATGAAAATGAAATTCTGACCCCGGAAATCGAAAGAGCACACCCGAAAATGGTATAATAGATGATTCCATTCTCTAGTTTCCTAATTTTTCATATTGAATTTGGAGCTCAAACATGAACAAAAAAATCTGTTCTCTTGGGCGTTAATGGGTTAAAGGAATTAAAGTAACTCTTATGCACAGAAAACATGAATTTAGTAAAATGGTTTTGTATGTAGCTCATGTGGTTTATTGCTCATGTGATTTATTGCTCGTATAGCTATTGCTTTTGTTACCTTGATTAATATTTATGATATATTATAAAAATTTCGCGATTCCGTTGAATGTTTCTTTTCGAAGCTGCCACTGCTGGGGTCAGTCTGCCACGCTCTAAATCTCTTCGTATAAGGTTAGTGATCGTTGATCGACTCTAGACACAACTTCCACACCTAAATGTACATCTCTTATGTAATAAAAGTTTACTTATGATTTTTGCCAATAAACACTTTAATATTTCGTCAAATTTATAACAAATTTAAATAATATTAAAACATAATTACTAACACGATCAACTAGAGTCGATCAACGATCATTAACCTTATACGACGAGATTTAGAACGTGGCAGACTGACCCCAGCAGTGGGAGCTCTTCGTTTTCGTGTACCCCGACGGCGCGGGCGTTCCCGGATCTCGGACCATTTAATCGGGACGTAAATATTTCATCGCGAACGATGGGGCCGCCATGTGTTCTGACGTCATGCATTGGTGTCGAGATGCCCAAATCTGCTCATTTCCTCCAGCCAATCACGTAATTGGTCACGTAACCAAGTTGGCGATTTTCTCTACTGGCTGCGTTCGTAAACGTTACCCAGAGGGTAAAAATGCCTCCGACCCCGTTCGGAAAATTGAAAATGGAAAAGTTACCTTTACCCACAAACGTTCATAAAGCTTCTCAAGGATTACTCAGGGCATTCCTCAACGTACCCTGCTCGTGACTGAGGTAGAGTTTACTCGTCATGCGCAGAGACGCATTTTTTACGTAATACACGAGTCTTGGAAGTTCTTATTTGTAGGTTACCGCTATAATACTGCACGCATGCTGAAACGATACGACTATATATCTTTGATATTTAAAATGTCACATCATATTTCTTATAAAGTAATAGAAGGTCCCGATGGAGCCCCAATTTTCGACATAACAGAAATGTCAAAAGTTTTATTACACGACAAAATAAGTGAGTTATCCATAAAGTATATATTTAAAGGTTATATCCCCGAACAACAAAAAGTTCAAATTTGAGATATAAAATATCTTGAAGATGTGTTTCAGACGTCTTTAAGACATCTCTTTGACGTTCTTATGCGTTGAAATTTACAATATCTCGTGGAGAAATATGCAAATTTATGTGTTAAAATTCACAATAATATATATATTACTGAAGATAATCTAAATGCAAATTAGAGATATTAAAATATTTTAATTTTGATGTTAATTTAATAAAAGTTTATATAATATTTATACATCATTAACTAGTGTTTAACTCTTACAGCATTTAATTTTAATTAATCTATTTTTATTTTGTAAAAATAGCTTTATAGAAAGTCTAAGCTACTCAGTATCTGAGAATGGATTGAAATGGATTCAAATAGATTCAAATTTTCATAAATATGGTGTTAAAATGAATCCTTTTCAATCCAAATACGTTTTTATTCATTTATAGGAATTACATGGAGCATATCGGTATACTTTTCAATCATAAAATAATATTAGCTTTTTCAGTGCGTTTGTGACCATAGTGAATACTGTTCAATTCATAGTTTTGAATAGGAAACGCAGTTTTTCAATCCAGTTGTATCCAATTGAATCCAATTGAATCTAATTGAATCCAATTGAATTCAATTGAATCCAAAAAAAGTTTTCGCTGTTTAAAATACGAATTCGAATAGACGAAATCTCCAATCCATTCTCGGATGCTGGGTAGAGAGTTATTAAACTGTTTATATAAAAATAATACAACCTTCTTAAATTATATATATTGTACAGCAGGTAAAATTGATTTCATTTCTGTAACTGATCACATTCTTGATGTGTTGAAACCGTATGGATTCAAGATGTTGTTACCACCTGAAAAAGATGCTGTTGTAGTCATTTCATCTGACTGTACATCTCATTCAGAGGAAACTGAGAACATAGATCCGAGAATCTTAAAAGAGAGTAATGGAAGAACTTTGAATAAAGAAATGAAAAATATGTGGACAGATAAAAGTAGAGCAATGCTTCTACACTTATACAAAAAGTACAAATGTGATTTTGATTCCAATATCAAAAAAGATGATGTCTGGACTAAAATTACTTGTGACATGAAATGCGAAGGTTATAATTTTTCTGCGACACAATGCAAAGAAAAAATGAAATATATGAAAAAAAGTACTTTAAAAAAATAGATAACATGGGTCCTAAAAATACTGGTGCAGCACCATTAAAATGTGATAACTTCGAAGAACTTGACGAACTGTTTGGAAATAAGCCCACGTTATTCCTGTCGCTATCGCTAGTTCATCAGAAAATGATAATAGATCGAAAGGTATATATAAATATTAGAAATAAAACAATATAATATATAAATATTAGATATGATATAATAGTATGATATAAACATTACTATTTTATAAATGTGTGTTTATAAAAGAATTTCTTTTCATTTATTATATTGCTATTTTACAGTTATGCAGGGGGAGTTTAGCGATGTAAAAGATTGTGAAAAGAAACAGCGAAAGAGAGCGAGTGCAATAACTCTTAGCGATCTGAAAATGATACTTGAAGAAAAAGAAAAAACGAAAAAAGCCAGACATGAACAAAGACAAGAACTTCTTCGACAAAGTATAACTTCTCACGAACGCATGATGGACAAATTACTGGATAAGTTTTAAGTTGCGAGAAGATTGCTTTTGTTCCGTCCAATTTATTATATTGCAACATAAATATACATATATATAAAATACCGAATTAAGTATTAGAATTAGCATTAATTATAAAATTATCAAAGTACATATTCAAAAAATGATTTATTCAATGATGATTTCCAATCAGAATTGTTTAAGTTTAGCGTGTTTGTGTAATGTGCTAATCTGACAATGAGTGGTTGTATTATCTTTCCAAGATTAAGTTTGTCTGTTATGGGAAAGTACTCTCAATAATTCAAGTTTTATTTATAATTTTTTCTTGAATAGAGGAAAAAAGCTGTGTTAGTTTTTAATTTTTTAAATTTGTGCCAAAGATACAATTTATAATACATTTATTTAAAAAATCGCAAAGGTAAAAAAAATAAAAAGTTTTATTTTAGTCTTGGTAGTATGTTATATTTAAAAATATGGATTATATGATTATCAGAATAGATATAAAAAAAAATAAGATCGAAAGGTATTAGTTATTCAAGAAAGATTTTATTCAATATATTTTTTTTATAAGAACGAAGGACAGCTGTAATAGTTGTATTTTAATTTTTTTTAATCTGTCAAAGATGCGGTTACTACATTTGTCTGAAAAATTGCCAAGATAATGAAATAAAAATGTATTATTTTAATGTAGGATTCACACTGCGTACGACATCCATCGTACGGCGATACGATATCCAATAGGAGAGCTTGTTTTCTAGATATACAGCTAACAATATTTTGTTGCATCTAGAAAACAAGTTCTGCTATTGAATATCGTACCGTCGTACGTCGGATGTCGTATGTACGCAGTGTGAATCCTATATTAAGCCCATTCTACATTGGTCGTATCACAGGCATCGCAGGTCACAAATTTGTTGCAACAGCCAATCCGATGTGTCAATTTAAAGTCTCACGACGTTTACGATGCTACGATATGACCAATGTAGAATAGGCTTTAGGCTTGGTATATTATATTTTTCAAAAGTATTATTTTAGTTCTATTATATTATATCTTATATTATTATAGAATATTTTACTTTACATATATATGTATATGTGCAATGTATAAGAAAATATATTTATATATTAAAAATCAATTATTCTTTAAACTCCAAAATCAATCTAATAAAACAGGAATATTTTAAAATAACATGCATTCAGAAATCATATTTGTCGATTACCGTGATAATTTAATTCTCTGCACAGTGCATCTCATCGCTCATTTCCAAGTCGTTTTTCCTCTTCATTTACCTCATTTATAAATCTTCCTGTTCATTACGTATTATTGCCTCCATACCTTCTTGTATATATTCGCGTATTAAATCATCATCAAAATCAAGGCATATGTTATGCAAAACACAACATGCAAGTATTGTTGTAGGTATTAATTCGATTCTGTTCATGTCCAAATATTTTAATCTCCTAAATCGACCAAATAAAAGAGCAAATGTTCTTTCAATTGTTTGTCTTGTCTGCGAAATGCGTGTATTAAAAGTCTCCTGCTGTCTTGTCAAATTTCCTCGATTCATGTATGGAGTAATACACCACTTGAAAGTAGGATAAGCCTTATCAGCTAAAATAAATTCTCCACGTGGAAAATATTTTTCTGGATTTTGACGTATTGAATGATAAATATAAGAATTTCTAAAAATTCTAGCATCATGTACTGAACTAGGATAACCTGCAAAACAATCTATGAATTTTAAATTAGCATCGCATATTGCCTGTAGCGTTATGGTATGTTGCATTTTGCGATTTCTGTATGTTTCAGCATCCTGTGATGGTGCTTTAATTGGTACATATGTTCCATCGAGAGCACCTATAACACCATCAATTCCAGCCATAGCTTTAAATTTTTCTTTTATCATTGGAAACTCTTGTTCTGTTGGCCAATGAATCATATGAGGTGTGCCAACTCATTTAAAGCTTTCGTAACTCGAACAAAGCAGGAAAATAATGAAGATTTGCTTAAATCAAATCTTTCGCAGATTGACCTGTTGACATGAAAGAACATTAACTTGATAAATATATTAATAGTAGCTTATACACGATTAATTCAAATACTTTTTGAACATTTTACAGTGAAATTTTCTATCTTAATCAAAGAGTTGTTCAAAAGTGAAATTTATTTTCGATGAAAATCGATGCTATATATAGTATATAAACAATTCCAATAATAAAAATTTTCTAATTGACTCTCAAATTTCAAACGAATCCACAAGAAATCCTATATTCGGAGGCGAATGAGAGTGCCGCGTTGTTGTTGATACGCCAATCAATAAACTTGGATATATAAAATCCTTTATTCAAAATTACATGAATTTAATACGTTTCGACTCTTTTTTGAGTCATCTTCAGCTATATCATATACGCTCCAATTGAATATCGAAGTAAGTCACATCGAATTGATAGATTTGATGTTCTTAAGTCTGAAGAGAAAAAAATTAACATTAAATAAAAGATCTCAGTTAAAACCAAAGCACAGTGACTCACCTAACGAGATTCAATATGAAGAAAAAACGCAAATACAAGTAAAATCGCAAACCATGGATCGCCAAGCATCTTACACTGTTATAAACTTTCATAAGCACAATTATGTCAAAAAATTTTT